AATTGCCTTTTTTCCCCTTTATTAAGAAACATGTTATCTTCTTATTACTAGGGTCTTTTCCCTTTGTAATACACTAGCCATTGACTGGAACCGATAATATTAGATTTTTTTCCCCTGGGGTTTTTAATTGCCTTTTTTCCCCCTTATTAAGAAACATGTTATCTTCTTATTACTAAGGTCTTTTCCCTTTGTAATACACTAGCCATTGACTGGAACCGATTTCTTTCTTCTTTCTGATCTATTATTTTGGGGGACTTGCTGCAAACTGTTATCCTAGGTTTTCTTTTCATTGAACTCCTGAGTTAATTCCCCTGTTTCTTGGGTTCCACATTTTGCTCCTTGAATTCCATTTTAATTTAACGGAGTACGCTGTCATGGGCCACCATGTCCTCATCTTGGTAATTTTTTCAGGACAGGTAGTTTTTTCAGGGAGCTAGTTTCTGAGTTCTTGCATGCCTAAAAAGCCTTTATTTTACCGTCACTTTTAAACAGTTTTGTTTTGTTGTCTTTTTTAACATGTGCTGTGGCAAATGAAAAGTATGTCGCCAGTTAGTTCTTTTGCAGGTGAATTATTTTTCTCCTCTAGAAGCTTTCATGATTTTCTCCTTGGCAATTTAAAATTTCGTAAGAATGAATCTAATCGTGGCTTTTCATTCATTCTGTGAGACTGTGAATCTGAATACTTTCTTCTGGAAACTTGTTCTTTTATTTCTTTCTTTTTTTTTTTTTTTTTTGAGACAGAATCTCACTGTGTTGCCCAGGCTAGAGTGCCGTGGCGTCAGCCTAGCTCACAGCAACCTCAAACTCCTGGGCTCAGGCGATCCTCCTGCCTCAGCCTCCCGAGTAGCTGGGACTACAGGCATGCGCCACCATGCCCGGCCGATTTTTTCTATATATTTTAGTTGTCCAATTAATTTCTTTCTAATTTTAGTGGAGGCGGGGTCTCGCTCTTGCTCAGGCTGGTTTCGAACTCCTGAGCTCAAACAATCCGCCCGCCTCGTCTCGGCCTCCCAGAGAGCTAGGATTACAGGCGTGAGCCATCGTGCCCGGCCTGTTCTTTTATTTCTTTATTCTCACACCCCAGCTCCTGATTTCTTCTGTTCTCTCTAGAACTTCTCATAGACATTGTACTTCCTGTTATGGTGTCTTCTCTCTCAATTTTTCACTTATATACTCTTTTAGTGTCTTTGCTTTGTGTTCTGGGATTTTTTTTTTTTAATTTCTGGTTCTTGTACAAAATGTTCTGTTTTGTCAATCACGTTTAAAAATAATTTTGATCCTTTTATTGAGGTGAATGGTGAATGTTCCATGTACATTTGAAAAGAATGCATATTCTGCTACAGCTGGGTGGAATGTTCT